CTGGATCCCATGACTCTGAGATCATGACCTGAGCTGAAATCAAGAGCTGGATGCTTAACCGACTGAGCCACCCAGGTGCACAGTATGGCATAAATGCACCAACATATTATACTACTGGGGTATTTTCAATTTGACTATATACTTACTTTAAGTATTTTTATGTGTTTTCCTGGTAGTAAATAGCATCCCTTCATTTCATCTTAAAGAGCTCCTTTCAGAATTTCTCGTATGGTAGGTCTAGTGGTGAAGAACTCCCTCAGCATTTGTTTGTTTAGGAAAGTCTTTATTTCTCCTTCATTTCTCAAGGACAGCTTTGCCAGGTGAAGTATTCTTGGTTGGAAGTTTATTTGCAGCATTTTGATTGTGTCATTCTTCTCTGGCCTGGCCTGCAAGGGTTCTGCAGAGAAATTTGATAGCCTTATGGGGGAAGGGGAGTCTTGTAATTGACAAGCTTTTTTCTCTTGCAGCTTTCAAGGTTCTTACTTTGTCTTTGATTTTTGACAGTTTTATTATAGTGTATCTTTTAGAAGATTTCTGGGTTGCATTTGTTGGGAATGTATGAGCTTAGTGAACTTGGATATCCAAATATCTCCCCAGTTTTAGGAAGTTCTCAGCTACAGTTTCTTTTTCTTTTCTTTCTTTTTTTTTTTCAGCTACAGTTTCTTTAAATAAACTTTCTGATTCTTTTTCCCTCTCTTTTCATTCTGGGATTCTCAATAAAGCATAGATTATTTTTTTAAGTGGTTTCAAATTAGTTCTGAAGGCTTTCTTTATTCCTTTTCATTCTTGTATCTTTTATACCTTTAACTGGATAATTTCAAATGATCTGTCTTTATTTCACTGATTCTTTCTTCTGATGGGTCACGTGGGCTGCTGAAGCTCTCCCCTGAATTCGTCAGTTTAGTCACTGTGTTCATGATTTTCTTTTTATCCTTCAAGTAAATTTTTGCTGCATCTAGGATTTTGGATTGACTTTTTTTCTTTTTCAGCACTGTCCTTAATGGGATTTGATTAAATAAATCTTGGGAATGAAGTAGTATGGAATCTTAAAAGGAATTAGGCAGATATATCTGTACTGACATGAAAGATGTCCAAATATTATTAACTGAAGGAGGAAAAACAAGTTTTATTTATTTTTTTAAAAAAGATTTTTTATATATTTATTTGACAGAGAGACAGCGAGAGAGGGAACACAAGCAGGGGGAGTGGGAGAGGGAGAAGCAGAGAGCCTGATGCGGGGCTCGATCCCAGGACCCTGGGATCATGACCTGAGCCGAAGGCAGATGCTTAACAACTGAGCCACCCAGGTGCCCCGAAAAACAATTTATTTTTAAAGAATTTGTATTTTTTGAGTGGTCTTTCTGTTACAGAAACTTTAAAGACTTTAGAGTTGTAAGAGCCACACTAAAGTACTTTTTTCTCCAAGAAATATAGTGACTGGGTTTGCCCCATGGTAATGTGTATTGAGTGCTCTTGGGGATCATTCCAGGGCATTGGGTGCTGAGGATAGGTGGTTCTCAGCCATAGTGTCAAATATGAGTTGAATTTTTTCTTGCTCCTAATAATGTTTTAAATACTAAAGTTTGTGAGCAACTTATACTTTGTCTTCTATTAACATTATACTCACCTCCGGTGAGTGGAGGAGGAAAAAATGTGCAGTTACAGATTGCACCTGGGGCGGAATGCCTTTAAACTTATCTCCCTGGGTGCGTTGCTTATCTATGACATTAGTCACAGTAGGGAAAAAGGTGAGAGCCACTATATTAAAGAGTAGTTACGTATTTCCTATACTTTCTGATCCCCAATTTCCTTAGTTTCTTTCTTTCTTTCTTTTTTTTTCCTGTGGATAGTTCTGAAAGTGTGAAGCAGAGGAATGATGTGTTTTACCTGCAACCCGAGCGCTCCTGTGTTCCGAATAGCCCCATGTGGTACTCCACATTCCCGATAGACCCTGGGACCCTGGACACCATGTTAACACGTATTCTCATGGTGAGGGAGGTACATGAAGAACTTGCCAAAGCCAAATCAGAAGACTCTGATGTTGAATTATCAGATTAAAGTGGAAGTGGGGTTCCTATTTTCATACACATGGGTATGCACCAAACTGTGAATGCATCCAGCTTTGGAAAACGATGTACAAGTACAAGTCCTCTTGACTTGATTATAAGATAATGGAAAACAGATGACTCGTGAACCACAGTGTGGATGTACAAATGAAAATTGAAGGAAAGAATATGAACTGAGAAATGTTGTTCTTTGGCAGTGATATAGTTCTTAGACATCTTCAGAATGACTAACCAATTTCTCTGAGTGGTGCATAATCTTATTTTGTTTGGGAATAACAAATTGTGGAATATTTTTAAGGAAAACTGTTGTATAAAACTCTACCATAGTAACCTTAGACCTTAGAGAGGTAGCTTTGGAATAAAACCTTGGCTGCAGGAGGCTACTTGGGCAAGCCCTATGTGCACGTCAGGGGAGAAATCAGTGCAGAGCTAAGAGTGACATCAGATGAGGACTGTGGGACCCAGACTTGAAGACCCAATAAAAATACTCAACTTTTTTTTAAAAGGTAGAGAGTGAAGTGGTCTTGATTTTGATTTTCACTGCCAAGCCAATTCTGTGAAGGATAGAAGCCTCTGGTGCTTTTGCCATGGGCCCCTCACATCAGGGAAAAAGGCCTTCACTGCTGTTCACACAGTAATGTGTCCCTTAAACTTTCTGGGTCTTGCCTTCTCAGCTGTGGGTCTGGATTTGGGTAAATTGAGGTAAAGGGGCTGAAACTCCACGAACTGATTATGCACACAGAAAATCTGTGGAGCCCATTAGACCCCAAGTGTCTTGAAATGTTTGTAGAAAACCCACTAAAATGCCCACTTCTCTGGGTGTCAGCCTTTATTGCTGCTGTCTCATAGCATGAGCTGTGGTACACAGAAATGGGGGTTCTCCTTTTGTTTTCATTTTATCCCCAAATGGCAGCTTTTCTCTCATTGTTTTATCTTCCTGTTCCCCCAAATCCTCTTATTTTGCCTTTGCACCAGTTTCTGGAGGCCCTTGTCATTTCAAAAAGAATAGTCTCTCTCCTTACTCTGGCAAACCTGTGGGTGATTCCACAAAGACACAGTATTACTTAGCTATCAGAATTATGATAGAAAAGGTCCTAGTATGTTCCTATAAAGCATTTGGAAAATGATCTTGTTGCCCTAAGAAACTTGAAAATACGGATTCTGGGGTTAGGATATAAAGACACTGACTGTCTTGCATATCATATCCACAGCAGGTCTTATAGCATTATTCCAAACTCTAGCTGTTTTAGTAGTTCTATGAGGATTGCAAGTCATAGGTGTGTTTGGCATATCAATCCATCTCCCTCATCTCCATTCTCAGTTTCTCCCCCCAGAAAATTTTACTCAATATTATGATGTTGGCCAATCACAGAACTTCTTTAGCTGAGGTGATTTTGACCCATTTGTAATAGAAATGACAGAAGTCCAAAAAGCCTCTGAGAAATTTTAACCTTGAAAGACTTTTCAATATGTCCCATTTTTAGATGCGGGTGGCAGGTGTTTTGGTTTTTTAAAATAAATGAAAGTCATTTAAGTACAATAAAAATTTAAAAGTAGGCCTTTTGACATTGTGTACTTGATGGTTCTGTCCCTCTGCTGTAACAAATTTCATTTTGGTTACCAGGAACTGTGTGAAAGAAGTAAATCTGCCCCAATTCTGTATGATTAATTCCATCTGTGTTTGTCATTTCTGACTGGAAAACTTCTTACATTCAGATCTTGTTTGATATGGAGGAAAAACAACTGGATTGTCTGATAAGTCTGCCAATAAACTATCCAGAAACATCAGTTGTAATAGCCCCCACTATACAGATTTTATGGTTTGTATAAACACTAACATTTCCCCTTCTGTAGTTGTATCAAGAACAAATATTGTTGGCATAGTAGATACATTGTTAGAAAACACCAGAGAGAAAAAAAGAAATCTGTATCTTTTAACTGAGAACAGCTAATACCCAGGTCAATAGCTGTCAGGACTTCAATTGCATGTTAGTCCACAGAGTTGTCCAGACCCTAAATTAATTCGTAAAAGAAAATCTTGATTAATTATTGGTCATTCTTCATAAGCGTAGCTGTTGATATGTGTGTCAGACTATTTGCTTTTTAAAATTTTATTAAAATTATGTAAAATTGCATTTTTATTTCCAGGGGAGAAAAAAAACATCAAACAAACAAGCGAAACATCTAAATTATTCTTTCTGTTCTTTTTTTTTTTAACCACTTTTGGGTTTTCCCCTTGCAGAAACCACAGAAATATTCCCTTAGAATAAAATAGTATATTTGTATTTGATGGGTGAGTTATTCCTTTTCTTTGTCTTGAACAAATTTTAAATATTTTTTTTTCTGTTTAATCTTATGGGTATGAGCCAACAGATGGTATATTACAAAGAAATAGCAGTTTTCAGGAAATAAATTATTTGGTTTTTACTTAGTCCAGTAAACATATTGTTTCATTGCAAAGTCTTTTCACTTGTTTTCTTTTTTCCATCAAAAGACTTGTTCCCATTTTTAGTGGATTAATTATATTCAAAGCCCTGAAAGCTTAGAAATACCAGGTATCACATATATGTTTCATTTCAGGCCAACTTTTTTGCATCAGTTCACCTTGAATGATTTTGAAATTGTGAGACTGGGATAAAGAATATATATCCATTCTTAAGGATAAATACATACTTAATTTGGAAATGTGAGACTAAGTGGCATTTTCCTTCGACTCTAGCACTACCTTGGTATTGTGCAACTCACTTTCAATTCCACATGGATTGTTTTATCTACTGCCTTTTGGCATTCCTAATTTTGTAAAACAGGAGTTTTCCAAGAAGTCTAAAATGAATTTCTGTGTATGAATCCCAGTTTTCTATTAAATTCAGAATTTAGTTTTCCATGTAAATAAAGTTCCCTATGGTAGTGAGTTGAAATTTGAGGAAAGAATTAAGCACTAATTCCCCTAGTTCCTCTTGTGTGTTATCATGGTTGAAAGAATAATCACTGAGAGGCATTGTTTAGAGAGTAGGAAGATCTGAGGCTTTGGAGCCTAGTCTTTCCACTTACTGGTTGTAGAGCTTTAAGTAAATCGCTTAACTTCTGTGTGCCTCAGTTTTCTTACAAAGTGGGAATAAGAATAACTTTTATTAAGTTTGGCACATGTTAGGCTTTTGAATGTCATGGATTTTTTTATTATAACATGCAGATTGCTAGGCATATAGCAAGATTTTAAATAAATGTTAATCCCCTTCCTGCAGCCTGAATTTTCACTAAGTTCAGTGCTTCCGATTCTGCAAAACATAATATCCTATATGATTTGAGTCAAATTTTTAAAGTACCATATGTAATCATAAGTTCTTCACTCATGTGCTTATATGCATATGAATAGTAATCAGCATCACAAAAATCCACTGATAACTTACTACACTGAAAAAAAAGGAGGAAATACATGGTATACCTTTTTTTTTTTTAATTGGGGAAACTCTCAATGAAATTTTATTTACTTGGTAATGGTTATATACCATGACTTGGGAGCAAGACAACTATACAATATACATCTCCCAACTTCTTTCTTCATTAACAGAACCCTCTGCTCCCCCATGTTTTAGCTCGGCAGTAGTTTCTTTGGTAAGTGATTATACTTTCCAGGCTACCTTGCAACTAAGTGTGAACATGGGACTGACTTTTGACCAGTGGGTTGGAAACAGTAGTTTATAACTAGCAGGCCACATCCTTAAAAGGAAAGGGCTTGCCTTCCTCTTGTAATCTCCCCTTATCTGTGGGCCGGAATGTCACTGTGCTCATGGCAACCCAGTTCTGTCTGTGTGGGAAAGGGCAGCATATCAAAAGCATGTTAACCTCATGAGGCAGGGCCACTTATCTCCTGAACTGCCTGCTAGCTCGGACCTTCACATATGAAAGAAGAAACCTTACTTCAGCTATTGTTATTTGGTCTCTACTAAAGTAGCCAAACCAGTTTCCTAACTAACGGATTTACTATGCCCAGTGTCATGCTACTGCTTAATACAGATCTAGAAATTCTGATCTACACCATAAGGAAAGAAAAAAGAGACTATCGGTATTGGAAACAGAAATATAACTCTTTATTTTTATTTCATTTTATTTATTTTTTAAATTTTATTTATTTTATTTTATTTTATTTTTAAGTAATCGCTACACCCAGTGTGAGGCTCCAACTCATGACCCTAAGATCAAGTGTTGGATGCTCCACCGAGAGAGCCAGGTCACCTATAAAACTCATTATTTTTAAGTCATATTTTCAGATGTTCAGGTACGCCTATGTATTTAAGAAAATAGCAAACTATTAAAAATAAGTTTAAGGATGGTAGCTACAGAATGGTTCATAAAAATTTCAAGCACTTTTCTACTAGAGTAGCAGCCAATTAGATAATGTGATTAAAAGGAAAAGATACAGTAGCAGTGAAAGCTATAAAGTATTTAGTAATTAAGTAATATACAAAAAATCCTGTGTTTGTTTTAGTAGGTGGTGTTGGAAAACTGGCTTTTTACATGGAGAAAAACAGGATACCTAACTAGCATCATGTCCAAAGGTGGGCTCTCAATGGATTTAAAGGTCTTAAATGTGAAAGGTAAAATTATAAAATTAATAGAAATACAGAGAATATTGTTGTGATCTGGGGGAGAGAAGAAGCTTCTTAAATAAAATTCCCAAAGCACAAACCATATGGAGAAAAATAGTAATTTTATATCAGAATTAAAGATGTTTGTCAATAAAAGATGACAAACGAATGACAGGCTCAGAGAAGATACAGGTTTCCCCCCTCTCTGAAGGTACGGTGTTCCTATGAAAACTTCAGTAAACCAAAACTGTGTAGAATGGAAATTTATATGGAAAATTTTAGCATTCCCAGACACCAAAATAACCCCTCTTAGGTTTTTCTGATTCTTCAGGGTACATCTTGCTAACAGATGCAGAAAATAAACCAAGATAAAGCACAGATGCTCACAGACACCATGCAGAGTTATGGAGGCTGAGGTGGTTGATGCTGAGACGCTGAGGGTAGTTCCCGGGAAAGGAGCTTGGCGGTGCCGCGCTCACTCCTTGGGATGTGCGCTGCCTCTGTAAGGGCTACTAGTGTAAAACTCAGAACACCGTTTGGCCTTGTGCCTTTTTTTGTGAAAGTGAAAATCCTCTCATATCTTTCAGTTAGCAAAAATGGGTACTAATGTAAGTTTTTTGTAAAAGTAAAGTGGCCTAACACAGACTTCCAAAAAGCGGGAATACTTGTACTTGCAAAACTACCAAATGATCTGTATCTAGAATATACCCACAACTGCTGAATTGTAAAGAAAACTGAACAAAGAATGATGAGTACTTGATAGAAGAGAAACCCAAACAGGGAACATGTATATGAAGAGATGTTCAGACTCCTTTAGTAATCATGGAATTTCTCTTCAAATCTATCAGTTCATGTCCTTAAGATTGGCCAAATTAGAAAAGTTGATAATGCCAAGTGTATTGGTGTTAGGATATAAAAACCCTTATATATTGCAAGAATAATTGAGCTATACAGTTGACCCTTGAACAACACGGGAGTCGGAGCAATAATCACACAGTTGAAAATCAGAGTATTAGTGTTGACTCTCCAAAAACTTAACTACTAATAGCCTATTGTTGACTGGAAGCCTTACTGATAACAGTCAGTTAACACATATTTTGTGTTTATATGTATTATATGCTGTATTACAATAAAGTAAGGAAGAGAAAAGAAAAGATTAAAAGCATGAGGAGAAAATTTACAGTACTGTACTATAAAATAATCCATGTATATTGTGGACCTTATAGTTCAATATCATGTTTTTTGAGGGGCAACTATATATCCAGTCTGGAAGGCAATCTTAAACATCAAGTTTTAGAACAAAACAAAGTTTTGATAGCTTTTACTTAAAAAAAAAAACAAAAAACTCCCCTTCCCCCATTAAGTAAAAGATTGTTACCAAATGCATTTTGTATATCTATATAATTTGTATCATTATTCATTTAGTGAAATACATTGATTCTGATATCAAACCATCCTTGCATTCCTTGATGAAACCCTAATTTTACATGTATTTTTTATATATACTATTGGATTAGCTATATAACCTTTACCAAGGACATTCCCTTCTATTCCTAGTTTTCCATGAGTTTTTCTTTCAGTTATAAAAAAGTGTTGAACTTATCAGATGCTCTTTTTTGCATTTATTTTAAGTCTTCTTATTTTTTGCCTTTATTAAATGAAACACTAATTTTTTATGTTGAACAGTTTTTGCATTCCTTTACAAACCCTTATTAATTTAAAAATATGTATATACTGTTAGGTTTGGCAGCTCGTATTTTATTTTGTTCTGCTTTTTTATCTGTAGTCACAAGTGAAATATTTCTTAATTTTTTTTCTTGAATTCTCATCTGATTTTGGAATCACTAGACTCAAAAAGAGTTGGGCAAGTTTTCTTCCTCTTCCATTCTATGGAACTTACAGAAAACTTTGGTTTTTGAACGTATAGACAAACTATAAAACTTACAATTCTATTGATTGTTTTTATCTCTCTAAAGGGGAGGTCTTTGCCATTGTTAATTAACTGAATGTTCACTGGCCTATTCAAATTTTTTATGTCAATTTGGATTTTTCTATTTCTCTACAATTTTATATTTCTTTGTAAGTTTCACATAGTTTCATCTATGTGTTCAGCTTTATTAACATATGGTTCATAATTTTTTCCTTTTTCCATTCTGTATTTGGTATTCTGTTTGCATTTTCTCTTTTTTCTGATCCATCTTATCTAAGAATCTTGTCAAAGAACCATCATTTGGTTTTGTCAGTCTTGCCTTTTCTACTTATTTTATTAGTATTTTTCTTGTTTTTGTTTTTTTGGTTTATTTTTTAAATTGATGAATGATTGCTTCATTCATTCTTAATCATTCTTATTGCTGAAAATGAAAAATTATTTCAAATCTATTTTTCCCTTCAGCTCTTTAGTGGTATTCCTAGATTCAGACATGATTTTATCATTAGTCTGTTTGTAGGTGTTTTCTCATTTCCTTTTTTAAACTAAGTGTTATCCACCCTCCCTTTCCTTGCCTGAAATTTTGTCAGTTTTCAGGCTGTTTTTGGGGTATACTAATATCCATTTTCTTGATTAATTGCTCTTATCAGTATATAATCCCTCAGCTTTTTTTTTTTTTGCATTGAATTCTGTCTTATCAGATACTATAAATATTGATCCCTTACCTTTCCCATAATTACCATTTGCCTGATAATGTTTTCCTGTAATTTTTGCTCTATGTTGTTAGATGTTTTATATAGAATTCATAGAATCTTTTAAATTTTTTACTCTTTTGTTTATATCAGTTTAGACTCATGGATTCCTGTTTTACTCATTGGGTTGTAATCTGATGCTCTCATTATTTGTTTTAATACTCAAATTGTCCTAGATTTAACCAATGGAAGCCT